GTTTTTGTGGGGGGGGGGGGTGGAACGTTTGGGTTTTTTTTGGGTTTTTTTTGTTTGTTTGTTTAAACTTTGTTAGATCAAAATTTAAGGAGATATCTTATTTTTTCTACCTACAAGAAAAAAAAAAATCCCCGAAGCAAGTATTTGAGTATTTCCCCAGATTTTCAAATACATAAAAGTCAGCAGCTGTTAATATAATGTAAATGTATAAAATATTTCTACTACATTCTGTTCAGTGAGTATAATTTTGAACGCTCTAAAAGCAATTGAACTACATAGGAATGTACTAATGTTGCTTTGAAGTTCAGTCACTGCCATACAACCTGTATCAATACTCATATAGTTATTTACACAATTAATACTCTTTATCACTATTTCCTAATACAAATCTCATCTTTTGTTTACCTCAAGTTGTTCCTTTTGTGTGAAGCCTTTTGTGCTCTTTCCTGTGGAGTGGCCAACAAATGTCATTACTCTAACAACTGGACGGAGCCGGGAAAGCATTTCTGCAATTTCTTGCACGCTATCTCGAAATGATGAGAAGATCATCACTCTGGTACCCACAGTGTCCACAGATGTGCTTTCAGTCGTGATTTGATCTATTTAATTTTAAAAAGCCAGAAGAGCATTTTTATGCATGATTTTAAAATAACTACCAATAAAAAAGGAGAGGTCATCCCACAAGCTATACATTCACAGCTCTCATCTCACTTAATGGGAAGATTTTGTCCAGGTATACTGCATTTGATTTTTTCAAAGACTTTTTCTTTAAAAAAAAATTCATTTTAAAAAAAAAGTCTAAGTAAATAAATAAATAAATAAATAAACAAACAGTAGAGAAAACTGACAATTAGGAGCCTCTCAGCCTATTTAGACCAACCTCCTGGAAAACGTTCCAAGATACACCTGCTCAAACAATTCCTCTTTGGAATCAAAGCAGTATTCTAATTTTGGAGAATTTACACCAACTGTGGCAAGAATGTATTATATCTGAGGTACCTTTACTAATATTACTTTGAAAATCTCAGGTTTGATGGCAAGCGTATTGAAATAAAGTTTAAGATGCCTTCTTCCAAAGAGCCTACAATGTGACATCTAAATCTGCCACTTAAATGCCCAGAGTCAGATGAGGTTAGCAATACATAGCAATAAAAAACACTGTTACCATTAGTCTAGGATTCAGCGTGGTGGAATTAGAGATGTATATTAACTTTCTATGATTTATTGCAGCAAGTTGTCTCTAGTTCTACTGCTTAGGATCCTCATGACAGCAGAAATGTGCAAAACCTTCCCTTAATAGCATAATCTGTTGCTTCTGAATGATCTGTCATCACAACTGGTTATATTTCTCATTCCAATAGCAAAGATAACCTTTCCCTTTTCAAAGAAAAGTGAAAAATAATTGCATTGATACACGGTTTCTTAGCAAGGCGCCTTTGACCAAAACCATGTTCTTTATGTTATACCATCATAGATTTTGTCTTCTGGATACTCAACTTTTTTGGAAAAAAAAAAAAAAAAAAAAAAAAAAAGGGTATCTGCCTTCATGAGCACAAGCGAAAGCTATCTAAGCAACATGCAAGTCTTGAACAGTCAGCTGCTGTTTATCCTATCCAAACACTAAACCAACATGCCCATTACTGCATGCTACAAAGTAAAAACCTAGGATGTTAAAAAAGAGAATCCCTAAAAGGATATAATGAATAACTGAAATTGGCACAGCTTGCATGCATTACCTAGACATACCCTTCAGATGAAATCAAATAGATTTCCAGGAATAAAGATCTCCTCTTTTACACAATTCTCCACAAAGCACCTTTATCTCACTAAACGAAATGTTAGACAAGGAATTAAAATTCTCAAAACTGAACGTGTAAAAAGCTATTTCCCGGAACATACAAAGAACAGTCAGTTGGTGCTTGATAACAGTTTCATGCTATGCCTGTAATTCCAGTATCAAGCTGTTTCTTGAAGTTAAAGCATTAAGTGTAACAGATCAATATATCTATCTATCTATATATCTTTCTGACCAGCTATCAGAAATTTCAGTTTAGTTTTCAGTTGTGCATATCTACATGCAGAAATGCTTTCAGCAGCTTAAGTCAGAAAGGAGAAGCTGAAGCTAACCATCTTGGCCATTTGTTTTTAAGATGAGCCCTGAATTCACAGGTAGATCATGAAGATGGCTGCCTCTGGTCAAAACAAATTTCACTCTTGAGGCTGAGAGCCAAGGAGGTTAGACAAGAGGATCTCCAGAGGTCCCTTCTAACTAGTCGAAATTATTCTATAATATTCTACTGCACTGCTTCAGTAAATTGCAGGCAATATGGGAGGTCATCTGTCAAGTACAGAAACCAGTGCCCAGCAAAGGCCTAGAAACAAAATGGTGAATATGATTCAATATTTTTAGCTAGAAACCAGACAATTGCAACACTGATATAATGTGTTCTACATAATTTGCCATCCTGAGCAGACTGACAAACTACATTTTTCAGAATAAGTGCAGGTTGGATATATCTTACTTACCTGAGTTCATATTATTCTCCTCCACTAACTTCATACTGAATAACATTATTCTATATCTATTTTTAGCATATTCTCATAACTTGAATAGCAGTAATGCTCAGTAGCATCTGTCCCTGTACTGTAAAAAATGTTATACTGCTGCCATTACCTCCTTGACCTTATCCAAAACAAGACTTAGAAAATTCAAGACATTAGCAGCCCATAATCAATCTGACAAGTAATCCAGGTATGGAAGATTAGCTGGGAGAAGCTTATTATGCTGAGCCAACATTTCTTAAGGGCTGGCCAGAATGTTATCTTGCACTTATCCAAATTGCTGGTAAGTGCATTTTGCAAAGCAGGGGCAATAGCTACATGGTCAGGAAGCTCAAACTTAACCTGGTTGATCACTAGTTAGAAATGTTCAGAGTTTGCACAGGCAACTTGGCACTACTCCCACAAGTTCTCATATGAGAGGTTTCATTTCAAATGGAGGAAAAAGAGCTAGTGTTGTTCCTGATATGGCTAATGACAGGTTATTAATACTCTCCTTTTCTGTCTCAAATGTAGGGCTTTTCAAGGAAAACGCTTTGCAGAAGAAGTTATTTGTTTTAAAAATTACACAGGCATGAACACAGTAAATTATGATTTAGGGTAGTTCAGTAATGCATAATTGGAACAAGGCAGAGTTAAGTTCAGGGGGTTTATTTGCTTCTGGTTTTTTTCCCCTAGAGATAATACACACTTGCATGAGTTCCTGAAACAAATGCTGAATGTATTTTCCACTGCTCGCATAATGATTTAGGCTTTTATTTCAGAGCCTTCTGATGGAGCAAAGATACATGCGATTATGTCTGGAATCTTAGTAAGTACTCAAGTTTTTATTGACAGACTCATGACAAATTCTTGTCTGGAGGAGTAAGAAATCAGGACATGGGTGTGTACTCTATTCAGAGTCCAAAACCAGAATTCAGGGTGTAGCTGCTTGCGTACGTGTCAATGTAGAGTTTACTTGCAAGAAACAGGGAGTAAGGGTAGAAATACAGGTTTTGGGTTATTGCTCAAAAGGTATCATCAGAGGCACTATGACACAGTGAATAATAAGGCAAATAAATAAAATCAGTGTCTCACTATTTCCATCAACTGCCCAGTGCATTTGGGTTGGAGATGCATAAGCTTAGAAGATACAATCTGGAGCTTACTACATTCCCTAAATTACTAGAATGCCTGCAACTTTGTGATCAGACTGCAAATTGTAAAGTGCTTTCTGGCCTTGCTTTATACACAAAGATTTCAGGACCAGTTGTTTGTACTTGCTTTCAATTTGACTATATGCATCTAGAGAAGAACTGTGTTCAGGACACTGATTTATATTCGCCATGGCCTTGCCTTGCGTGTTAGTCACGAGGATAAAGGAGGTTCCAGGGATAAGGAGGAAAGAAGTCCAGCAAGAAAACCTAACATAGCTAGCTCAATGTATGACTAGATATTCTATCATAGCTCACCAATTATGCTATAAAAGATTACATATTTCTTCTTGCACGGTTACTGTAATTTTGTATTTATAATGGGAAAGATTTAAAATTGATGCCTACTCACTTCTGAGTTCACACACAGAGACACAAAACAAAATCAAAACACTTGAATATTAATTACGTGTTAGTAATATTAACAGACATGTCTGACCAACATTGCAAGGAAAAACATATCTGATGGGATTCATATGACAGCGAAATCCATGCAAAAGAAGATGGAAGAATATTAAATATGAAACTTAGTTAAAGGAAGTCTAGTACAGAATACAGAATTTGAAAACAAAAGGCAATAGCTTAGACAGATGTGTTACAGGAAACAAGACAGAGGCATGGAGGGAGGCAGGGAGGACAGAGAGAAGTGTGGATGGAAGGGAGGGGGGAGAAGAAACGTAATTTGATTAAATACATTTAGACATATTATAAACTAACAAAAACAGACATGATGAAACTTGAAGTTGCCTCCTAGAATGTAGCAGTCACTTAATGTATTCTGAGAATCAAGCCTCTAATATAAAAAAAAAAAAAAAAAACCCAAAAAAACCACACCAAAAAACCCAAAACCAAACCACAAAAAGGAATGGCAAGTCAGAAATTATCCCAACTTCATAGAGCACAAAGATCCAAACAGACAAGGAAAAAAGTGAAGTTGAAAAAAAAAAAAAAAAAAAAAAAAAATTGTTACCAATGTCATCATTCCAAAAGCAACAACCGGATCAAGAAACTGAAACTTCCTAAAACCAGAAACGTCTGAATGATTCAGAATATTTTGCTGCTTAATCTCATGCTACTGTGGGACATATTTTTGTTCTCCCTTTCAGTCAAGATGAAAAAGAATGGAGAAAGATGAATGTAATTGAAGGTTTTAAACTTCAAATCGATGCCTCAGAGTTTGTCATTCTTCGCAACAGGCTGGATATCAAAACTTTTACCCTTAAGCTCCATAAATATTTTGCATATAACTTTGCAGGAGGTAATGGTAGCACTGCACTGAGAGATGGTTTCCAGAACAAATTCTGTGACTATGAAGATCAAGAGACATAGTAGCACTAGGAATGAGTTTACTATCACTGTTTTACTAAACTGTTAGAACAGTTTATATCAAATTAATAATGATAACTTACAGAATGTTTTTTCTTAAAGAAATATTATGGTATAGTCCTCCTAAAGAGGACTTTTCCACACAGAAGATATATAAACATACAAAACAATAAAGAAGCACTTGAACAAATTAAGAAATAAATCAGTAGGATATTACTTGTTTTCGTCCTCGGGTTCAACTGTTCAGATACTTTTTCTTTTGAGTTGTTAGTACTTACCAGAACATCCCTTTTTCCAGGATTTGAAGTGTTGTATTACAATTTCCTCCAATTTCCTTAATTTTGGATGGCTGTAGATAAATTCCTTTTTATTTTCAAACACTAAAAAGGAAATAAAGCAATTAAAGATGTAAGTAAAAACAAAAATTAATTCTCCAAGTCAGACATACAAATTCCTGACACTAGTTCTAATTGCATTCACCTAAACAAACTAGTAAATTACTTACAGAAGCACATTTGTTAAACCCAGTTTTTGAGCAAGTGATGTTACTGTCACACTGTAAAAGATATATAGTCAAACAGTAATATTTTAACCTTCCATTTTAAATCAAATTAAAAACTTCAAACATACCTTCTTTGAAGGTAGCTAAAACCACCTAGAGAAGATAGATAGATAGATAAGAGTCTGGGGAAAAAATCTGGCATAAAGAATACTAGCCGAGTGTATCACAGTGAATAGCTTCCTGCATCTACAAACTATGTAGAGCTATCTACTGTTTCATTTAAACAGAAAGTAAATATTCTGTCCCTAAAAGGGAAATACTTACCTGTTTTACTCTTGTAAACATTTCCATTCAGTGAAGGCAGAGATGTGTCTGAAAACATGTCTCTAAGCTGCTGATACAGCTTCATGAAGTCCTCATTACGACCAAGTTCATTCTTCGTACGGGTTAACCCTTTGTAAAAAGTTGAAATACCTTAGTATTTAATCTCTGGAGTGAATATAATTTTTGCTATCCAAAAGACAAGCTTTCTCAAAAGTAGCAAGCTCCTTTCAAGAGCTATAAGATACACACTAGCTTTAGGAAATGTAATAAACATTGTTCAGCATCAGTATTTTTTCAGGGAAGATGGCATTATGGAATTTAAACATGAAAACATGAATTTAAACATGAAAAACATATGTGTAGACAGAAGCCTGGTCCTGTGGGTAAACGAAAAAGTTTTACATCAACCATTTAGCACCAAAAGCCGTTCAATCCAAAAACGATGATAGTGGTGAGACACTGGAACAGGTTGCCCAGAGAAGTCACAGACACCCCATCACAGGAAGTGTTCAAGGTCAGGTTCGATGGGGCTTTGAACAACCTGATCTAATTGAAGATGTCCCTGCTCATTGGGGGGGGGGGGGGGGGGGGGGGGGACTAGATGGTCTTGAAAGGTCCCTTCCAACCCAAACCATCCTATGAGTCTGGGATTCTATGAAATGCTGCCAGTTACTCAAAGAGAAGGGAACCTAGACTAAAAGCTAAAATTAAGAAGTTTCTTGAATGATATTATGTCAATGTTGAAAAGAATTTTGTTCTACTCAAACCAGAAACCAAACTTACCAGAACACCAGTACAGAAGACCTATTTATTAGAACTATTTTCCATCAGTCATTTTTCAATAGCAGACAGGGATTTAAGGAATATGAGAAACTAGGAAATACACGAAATGCTCTCCAGTGACTAGGTCTAACAGCACTATACCACCAGAAATGTAAAAGTCTGCACATGCTAAAGTAATAGATTGTAAAAATGTCAAAAGCACAAAATTAATGAGCAATTATTAGCACATGCATACTCTAAAAATATATTCTATAGATACTCTGTAACATGAAGCATGCACTGTACATTTTTGGTTCAGACGTAGGACGAAGCAGTGTCATTTTAACTAAGCAGTGTTGTAGGCGAACTAGCTTTTGTAAGTTACCACACAGTTACACAGCTAAGTGTAAACCAAAATGAAGCAGGAAACCCGAGAACCACACCATGGGGTAATCTGAACAGCTGGAACCTTCCCCTCCCACATCCAGTGTTTAAAAGAAATTTGCAGTTGGACTGACATTGCTATGTTGAAATTTGTTCCCTCAAAAAAAGATGTCAGTACCAAACCAGGTCTTCCAGATAGCAGTGATGACCCAACAGGTCTAAAAATGACTGTGGAGAGTTGCAGAAGACTCACAATAGTCAGTGATAGAATTAGGAAATAAACTGAGGCCAGAACAGAAAACATTATTGCATCACTGTATGAATTCATGCTGTATCCACATCTGGAATAGTGTGCACAGTTCTCATCCTCTCATTTTCTCAAATGAGAAGAGGTACAGAGAAACTCAGTAACAACTTTATACTTTGCTTAGTGAGCATGGAAGATGTTGCACAGCTGGAATAGAACTTCTAGTGTGATGTGTCTAAATCTGACACTTAAAACTCATGCACGTGAGTTTTGCTATGGTGGGAGGAATTGCTTTACAAGACCAAACGATTTCTCAGTTTAAATTGTTTGATGGTTATTCTCTGTCTCTCCAGAGATATTACTGCCACTTACTCTGAGTTCTCTTTGTGCCTTACTGTTTTCAGAACTGCTACCATATAAACACATTTGCTTTCCCAAATATACTCTATCTTTAACATTGTGCTAACATATTTCCAATAGGGATGAAGGGGAACAAAATAGCAATTACATTTGCAACCCATCCATTATATAAACCATTTTGTGCAAAACTAGCCATACAGATGGGGTAAATTAGATGAGGAGGAGTGGAGACAAAAGGAAGGATATTTCTAAAGACATTTCACCTTTTGAACCATCCATAATTCCACAAAGGTAGATAAATAATGACCGTACTCCCATTTGCAGCAGCAGCTCATAACCATGATATAAACTGATACAAAGTGCAAAATCTCCTTCAATTATGCCTTGATGTATTCCCTGCGAAAACAAAACAAACTCATCATTAAATTAGGAAGTCAATAAGCAGCAGAATCATACTGCAATTCTTCTGACAAAGATAAGATTGACATCTGAGAAACAGAGCCAAAGCACAAACTGATGCACAGTTAGTAGTCTGTCTATCAAAACCTTCAGGAAACAGGTTACACAATTCTTAATGATCAATGAAGGCAATCTCTTTCCACCTCCAAGATGATCTCCAAAATACCTGTATTATCTTCCAGGATTAGCTCATTACTTTCTGATGCAGCAACACTCAAAATCTGACAGCTGAACTATCCATCAGTGTTTGGCAAAACAAGAGATTTCTGGCACATCTACCCAAGCTACAAAATTTAAGTCAGGAAAGTTGGCTTGCCTACTGTGAAGTGTATTTCCCATTGTTCTTTTTAAGTGACACAGTCTTTTTTTTTTCTTTTTAAAGTAATATTCTTTTTTAAGTTTGCAAAATTTGAACATTCCATGACAATTTACAGAAAAATAGGAACACTAATGTAGTTTTGAGGGGAAAGTGTAAATTCGGCAGTCAGTAATTACAATCTAAGTTCTCAAAACAATTTCAGTTTGGAAATTGAGTTCTTCATCTTTTCCTTAACTTTCCTATATTAGCATCAAGAAATGTGGAACAAGTAGGCTTATTTCATTCCAAGACTAAAAATATAATTGTTACAAAGGAAATCTAACATAAAACGTATCAGGAAACTTTGTATGGTGTGGTATATTATTATTTATTCACTGCTTCAATAAAGTGAAATAAATAAAGACATTTACCCCATTTTGTGAAGAAGGATTTTTTCTATATTGGTCTCTTGCTAGAATTATCTGGTACTTTGTAAGTCTGGGAATATCCCGCCTTGCTAAAACTCCTATTTTAATCAGGCGTCCAGCAAATGTTTCTAGCACCTGCAAAGAAAACACAGAAGTATAAAAAAGATGTGAAGGTATGTGTATTTAGCCCTTTGAAGTAGTTTTATTTTTACAGATCTTGCACAACAGAACATAAGCAGCTCATTCATTTTATTTGAAACATAGCATTTTTCAAAACAAACTGTAGTGATTTCTGAATAATTTGTTACTGTACCAGATGACAAGCTGGTGCTCTCCCTCACCGAAAGGTTCTCCATTATCAGAATGTTTCTAGGCTAATTTATAAAATTTTTTCTAAAGCCTGCAGAATTTTTACAACTTGGTTCCCTGAAGATTTGTGCCCACCACCCTACAGACAAACACCCTCCTGCCCCAAGATAAACCCATACCCATCAAATAACTGAGAAGTGGAAATACACACTGTGCTTTTGTAATCGCACAAGTACTGACTGAGCAGAGAGGAAACGAAATGGGATGGGTAATCAGCTACTGAACTCATGCTGCAGCTCCCTCTCTTACTGGTAACCCTAACTTCAATGGCATTTTAGTCTCAGGAAAACTTGTATTCAGCTTTGAGAACTCTAAATTACCACAGACAGAAGACTAGCCAACAGGTTAGAAAGTTGTGTGTGGAAGGGATGGGAGTCGGGAGACGTGAACAGAGAGGAATGAGCATCCAGCAGATGGGCCCAGCACAGCAGCGTGCCCCATTTCCTTCGGAAACCACGCCAAAAGACAATTTGTTTTTATGCATCACATGTACCTGCTTTCCACATTGGTGAAACAAGGGAACTGACCTGCACTAATTCATCTTAATCCTGTTTTTCCTCTTTGTTTCTCAGCCTTAGGTGGTCATGATTTTTTTCACAGACTTAGCTTTGCATGAGCGCTAACTCTGTAATAATTGGAGTAATCAGATTTGTTCTATAAAAATTACTTACAATCTGTTGGCCCACTTGGCTAGTAGCACCAAAAACATCTTAGCGCACAATAACAAGCTTCTCCAAAGGCAGTCTTGACTTAGTTTGATAGCAGATAGTTCCCAATAGCTGCTTACATGCATCCAGCGTTTCCCAAGTTTTCTAGGCATTTTAACAGCAGTTCAGCTGAACTGCACTGAGAAGGCTATAGCATAACAAAAGCCTAATGCCTTTACTGCTGTTCTTTCAGCCCACTGAAAATCAAATCCAACTGAACCAATAAAAACAGGTCTAACTTTCAGGCCTCAAACAATACTGATCTAACTAAGTAAGTTTTCAGTTTGTGAAAACAAAATGCCCTAACAGGAAAAGAAAGTCAACTGTAAAAGTGCAGTGCATGTTTATGCACTAAGTAACAACACTCCATTTGTCCTCTTCACACATCTAGCATATGCTGGGTTTTTAGAGCCTGTTAGGATGCGTAAGTATAATTAACAGCACACTCTACTCATACCTTGTCAAGGCACTGGCAGCTTAGTTTAACAACTTTTCTCTGCTTGTTTTGATTATCTTTATACTTTGGTATTCCTTTAGCTTCTTACTCTGTGTACAGTGCCTATGTGGCATTAAGTGACAAATCCTGAGAAAAGGGATGGCAATAATTGCCATTGTCAACTACAGAGGCGTTAATCCCCCAAAGAATCAAAAACGCAAAGAGAACTTTGGAAGGGTGAAGGAAAACTTGTGAAAGCACCAGCCAAACTGGGGAAACAATGTGCTGGGGAATTTCCACACTGTCCGCTCCTTGCCTGCAGGTCTTTCAAAAACAGCTAGCTGGAGTCAGGAGGCTAAGCAGATTATAACAGATAAAGGCTTTTGAGAAATAATAGAAACAAAGCCTAAATTCTGAATGCTCTGGTGCATCTTAGGGTCCTCCTCTTCCCTAGTCTGGGCCTTCAGACTGGGATACCACGCTCAGGCAGCTTGCTGCTTTTGATCACAGGAACCCAGCTTGGCTGATCCGCGATGCCCACAGGAGCAGCTGGGAGGCCTCCAGGAGCAGCTCCGAAGGCAGGACGGTGGTGAGGAGCACTGCCTGTTCACGTCTCTTGCAGGAGTTGATGTCAGACCAGCTCTGTGGACTGAACATCCATCTGCGGCCACAGAGCCCCCAGGCACTTCAAAACCCTGTCTTCAGGTTTGCCTTGACCTGCAGGTAAAGTACCTAAAGGGGCCTACAAGAAAGCCAGAGAGGGACTTTTTACAAGGGCAAGGGCATGTAGTGATAGGACAAGGGGTAATGGCTTTAAACTGGAAGAGGGTAGAGTTAGATTAGATGTAAGGAAGAAGTTCTTCACTGTGAGGGTGGCGAGGCACAGAACAGGTTGCCCAGAGAAGTTGTGGATGCCCCATCCCTGGCAGTGTTCAAGGTCGGGCTGGATGGGGCTTTGGGCAACCTGGTCTAGTGGAAGGTGTCCCTGCCATGGCAGGGGAGTTGGAACTGGATGATCTTTAAGTTCTCTTCCAACCCAAACCATTCTAGGATTCTATGATACAGGCAGACAGGGACACTGCCTCACACGGCTCCCCAAGCAAAGTAAAGCACAGTCAAGAGACTCCATCCCGAATCATTCCTTCTAATTAAAACTAATGGATTAATTAGATCAAATAAACCACTAACACCACTAACAACAACTAAACACCAATTGGAAACCACAATATTGCTAGGAATTTCTGGAGGAAGGGCGGGGGGGGGAGGAGGAAATCAAATTATCTTTTCTTAAAATGCAGTCAAACATTCACCAAGCCACTTGGAAGTCTAAATGCACAAGAAATTAATTTCTCATATTTGGTTTAGTTTTAAGCATTTAAAATTCAAAACTTTGTCTTTTACCAAATAGTTTGTTATTGTTATGTTGTTTTTAGATCTGGCCTGTATCTGACAAGTCACTTTAAAAGGACAGAGACAGAAATGTCTGTGCCAGCTTATAAAAAAAGGTGTCTAAAAAAAATATAAATTAAAAATGTCGACCATGCAAGGGATAACTCACTGCTTTTTATTTTAATGGGATACCACTGAAATAACATTTTACCTTCCTATTAAACCCTAAACAGCTGGACATGAGGACACTGGAAATGCTGAAGATCAAGCTTAAACTATGTCTCAAATAGTGGAAATGGAGTCACTCTCTGAACACAGACATGTTTCTCTAGAAAAGAAATTAATGTTTTCATTAAAAAGTAATGCCCATGTAAGTATAGTATTTCAGCACTGGTTTATTATCTCCTATACTTGTTGCATGATTTTTTTAAAAAGAAATTTCCATTACATGTACTTTTATGTCTCATCCCTTGACCTACTTTATAACATGTAAGAAAATTACATTGTCACTGTTTGCTCAATGTACACCCCTGCCTGATTTAATCAGCTTCTGCAAAACAAACCAAGGAAGACTATTATGAAAGACAGCAGGATCCAGTCACCTGGAGCTTCAAAACTAATAAGGAACAGTAAACATAACCTACTTAGAAGAGATACAGAAACAAGCACTACTCAGAGTGATTACATTTATCTTGCTTCCATACCTTTATTTTTAATTAAAAAGATAATACTTCTGGGAATTCTTCTCAATCTTTCCAAAACATTTAAGTGTTATGTTACCCATTAAAAAACAGAACTGTAGAATTAATTTAAAGTAATTGCTTACTAGGACTCATGGCTTTTTCTAGCTAACTAAATTGAGTTCAAAAAGGTGACAGATTTACTACCAATACATAAAAGACAACTGGTAAAGCTATCCCATAGTGCACTAAACTTGCCATGAGCATAAAGGTTTTTGCTGAACGAGGTATCTTCTGCAGCAAATCACACTGATTTTTTTGAAGCTTGTACCTGAGGTTAGCTTAAGATCTGCCATTTGGAGCTACAAAGGACTACCATGTGTATTACAAGCAGAACTGGCAAGGCAAAGAACCGTTACTATTTCAGCTACACCTCACTAAAACCTGCTATTAACCTGTTTTCTCTTGGCACAATATAAAACAAAGGCTCTAAACAGGTGACCTGGCCTAGTTATTTTACTGTGGATTTGCAAGCATTCTTTACCAAAGAAAAACAAGAAATCTGCCACACATAAATAACTGTAGTGCATTTCTGTCAGAGTACAGAAGGCAGGGTTTGAGAGAAACCACCCACTAAGTAGATTGTATCTTCACAAAAGAAAAACTCTAAAGGTCCACTTCTATCCAGAGGAAAGGTGAAGTGCCAGGAAGCTCTCCACAGCACTCCCAGCCTCAACTGACAGACCTGACCAGGTTTATACAGTCACACTGCCCTTAAATAGAGCTGCCATCTCCCTTCATCTCCTTCCCCTGCTCTCCCAACTCAGCCAGCTCCAGCATTTTCAATGCCCAACATGCCACAGACCCCTTCCAAACATGCTGGGGCAGATGCAGAATTGGTGTGCAAGAAAATGAGACTACGTTGGCTGTCGGTGAGGTAATGTCACACCTAGAGCTGTGCAGGAGTGTTAACGTGACCCACCGACACGCTGGTCTGCCTTAACAAGGGACCACTACAGCCAGGAGCAGGGAAGTAGCACAAGCAGCTCCAGAACACAAATCCAGATTTTTGTTGTGGTCACGAACCACATGGACATCACGCTGCTCCTGCTCTCTGCTCCAGATTTTCAAAGGTTCAAGAAAGAGAGCGAAGGAAGACAAGAAAGGGAAAGAGGAGACTTATTCCAGGCTCTGGCCCCACCACCCACAGCTGGAAAGCCAGCTTAGAAGGTGTATTTATCAGAAGTCTTCACAATAGAGTTGTGATCATACTGTCCTGGGGGAGAGCAAACCGATTTTGGAGGAAGGTATGAAATCAACCAAGCCCTTCTAGAGCTCTAGGGAGCAGCAGCTCCAGTGAAGGTTAGATGAAGATCTAGAGCATTCATTGCTTTGTTTTAGGGCTGAAACTAGAAAGGTTTGGGTTTCACAAAGTGTGCTACCTTAAGAAGTGTCAGTGCAGTAACATAATGTTCCTAAAAGTAACTTCCAGGAGGACATCCCAGGAACAAACCATGTTTAGTGTCTGCCAACTGTAACTCCAGGTTGAGTGAC